TGCTACATCCATTCTTCATTTTATATTCATTATATTTTACTCCTCACAGTGTATACATGTTGTACATACTTCATTTTACAGCCAAAGAACTAAAGCTCAGAAAGGTTAAGAAAGTAGGGAAGCCAGGGTTTCAATCTTAGACCTAGGTTTCTATGATTCAAACTCTATGCTCTACTGCCTGAGAAGTGCAGTGGAGACAGAGGAGTAAATGAAGCTCAGGGACCTGAGAGGTTGGGAACAGTGACCACTGAAAGGAGGAACAGGTAGAGTCAGGTCAAGGAGGGGTCAGGGGCAATACTGTGTGTGCTACTGGATGTGGTAAGTTTGTGGTTGTATAAGATCAGTCTCGTTCCCTTTAACTCATTCAGCATGCAGATGTTCATTTCTCCTGCCATTGTGGTTGTGTCTTAGCAATGACTTTCTGCAAAAGGAGAATGAATATCACTTTCTCCTCCCATCCTTTCCAACAGAGACCAGTTTCTTCTAATGATCCGTCACTAAAGAATGTGATCCTAGACTTTCCTCCAAGCAGAGAGGCTCAGCCACTGAAAATGCCTTTCACAATGTCAAACACTTGCTCATTCATTCTTTCATTCAGCAGAAAGTGCTGCATGAGTACACTGAGCCAAGAACTGTGCTGGCTGCTGGCCCTGCAGGGAACTCAGTCCATCAGGAAAGGAGGTAGAAACTGCAGCTCACCATGGAACCACCTGCTCGGTCCAAGGAGGCCCAGACTTAGTGGTCAGGGCATGCTTCACAGATGGGGGGACATCTGGATTCCCTCTTTCCCTTAACCCAAGGCGATGGGTAATTTGACTATTAAAGAAAAATACCTCATTTTAATTCTTTATTATAAAAGTAACATATGCTTTTTTATAAAGGATAATCAAAACAATCAAGTGTGTAAAATAGAAAGTGAAAGCATCCATGCATGGTTCAAGTTTGGTAATGTAGCATTTTAGATTTTTACTGCATATATGTTTATATATAGTTTTAAATGATTCATGCTGTACGTGTTACTCTGAAACTTGCATGTTTTTTTCCCCACTCGACAGTATTTCATGGACATCTTTTTGTGTCAGTTGGTAGAGTACTGCTGTGTCCTTTTTAGCAGCTATGCGATATTTCCTGGTGAGGATGTGGGATAGTGTATTTCAGAGGCCCCCATTGATGGAGACTTGGATGGTCTTTCAGAAGTTGAATAGATGTTCACAAGCCGGACAGAAAGGGGCAAGAGACAACCAGGACTGAGTTATTGAGATGGGAACGGGCTGGAGAGCAGCCTGTGCTTCTGGTTAACATTAAATGGTTGGAAGCAAGGCTGATCGAGGACAGCACTCGTGGAAGTTTGGATGTTTTCTGAAGGCAATGATGGTGAAGAGCCGGGAGCACTGAAGGGTTTTGATGGAGGATCAAAGTGATTAGATTTGGATTTTTCCAAGGTTACTAGGACAGATATGGGTGGATGGCATCGAGGAGAAACTGAAAGCAGAGGAAGGCCCACCGAGGAAACTGCTCCACTAGTCTGGGCCAGAGAGGGTGATGGAGTTGAACTTACGGGGCCAACATCATGGCACTGAGAGGAGAGGCTGGATTCAGGACCTATCCGGGTTGGTGGTGATGACATGAGGAGAATATTTGTGGGAAAGGAGGAAGAAGTAGAGAATCTGACGTCTGACACCTCGCCCAGGAGACTGGCTGGATGATGCTGCTGTAACCAAGATGGCAACAGAGGGGAAAGGGCACTTTAGACAGGAGCTGGCGAGTTCAGTTTTGTCCTCTCTTTGCTTTGTCTTCCTCCTGTGACACCTGATTAGAGAAGGAAGCCATCCTCACCGGCACTTACAACACACCCACATTACCCCTGATGAACCCCAGTGTTGATGATTTGACCAGCATCCCTAGGGGTACTGAGGGCAAGTTCAGCTTTAGATATATGACTCTGTTATTTAATCCTTAAATTTTCTTCCCTCACTTTTATTTAAAGGACAAATGCTACCCCCCAGCGATGAGATGCACAGACACTTGCGGTTTCAAAGTTTGAAGTACTGGCAGGTCAAGACAAAAGCTTCTCCATGTTGCAGGGTGAGAGGAGGTCTTCAGAAGTCCTGGCCCGCGTGGTCACAGGGGCATCAGGAGCCCAGGACCACTGGGCTAGTTTCAGACCAGCTGGGGCAGGCAGGAAGGAATACACTCGTATTTGCTCAGTTACAATCAGCGACTCCCTCTTTGTGTAAAATGGTAATGAGGCCATTAGGAGAGGCTCACCTGAAGTGCAGCGTTGTGAATCCAAGGTAATTAAACACCTCCCGAATGAAAGAGAAAGGCCAGGGAAGGTTAAGTGAGGAATAATCTGCGGCACAGGTGGCCCAAGGCCTTTGAGGAGCCAGAAGGAGAGCGACAGTGGCTTGCACCATTTCAAAGGATGGAAATGTCACTGCAGTCCCTGGGAGGGGCAGGATTTTTATTATTATTTTGGGGGCAGGAGCAGAGAGTGGGTAGTATTTTTAGCATTTTAATAGAGGATGCTTCTTTTTCATACTTCTCTTTGGAGTTGAAAGTCCATGGCAGAGTCAGCCTGCGTGCTCAGTGGCCTTGCTCCTCAGGGGCTGTCACCACTGTGGGGCTGGGGCTCATGTGTCCCTGATGAGGAGAGGCTGTATAAACCAGTTATAGATACCGAGATGTTGAGATAGACTTCAAACTGTTTCCAAAGGGAGATTGTTTTCCATGGTGCCCTCTTGGAGTAGAGGTGGGGTAGCTACTCCCTCAGTGTATGTTCCCAGGGCTTTTTACTTTTAGAGATAGGGTCTTGCTCTGTTACCCAGGATGCAGTGCCATGGTACAATCATAGCTCATTGCAACCTCAAACTACTGGGCTCAATCAATCTTCCCATATCAGCTTTCTAAGTAGCTGAGACTATAGACGTGTGCCACCATGGCTGCCTAAATCTTATAGTTTTTATAGAGATGGGATCTCACTGTATTGCCCAGGCTACTCTTGAACTCCTGGCCTCAAGCGATCCTCCTGCCATGGCGTCCCAAAGTGCTGGGCACGTCCCCATGGCTTCTGACTTATCAGAGGAGGACATCAGTCCCATCTTTACACAGCTTACTGTCCAAACATGAGGTATGCCCTTTACCAACAGTATAGGATTTTTTTCCCTGTACTCAGTTCATATTTATTAATGGCTTCCTATGTACTGAGCACTGTGGTTGGTGATTTTGTGTATCCTTCCAGCTTGTTTTCATTGCATAATGTTTGGCAGAGGATTTTTGCTTTTCATATTGTCACTTGAAAATCTCTGTTGTCTCCACACAAAAGTTTATACATGAATTTTCATAGCAACCAAGAGTAGAAACAGCCCAAATGGCTATCCACTGATGAACAGATCGATAAAATGTGGTCTGTCCATACAGTGGGATATTATTTAGCCATAAAAAGTATGAAGTCCTGACACATGCTTCAACATGGATGAATCTTGTTCATAAAGCATTGTGCTAAGGGAAATAATCTGATAGCAAAAGACTGCTTTTTGTCAATTCCATTTGTATAAAATACCCAGAGTAGACAAACCTGTAGAAACAGAAGGAAGGTGAGTGGTTGCTGGGGTCTGGTGTGGGGTAGGATTGGCAGGGAATGGGGAGTGACAGCTAATGAGCATGAGGTTTCTTTTGGGGATGATAAAAATGTTCTGAAGTTAGCAGTAGTTAGTTGTACAATCTTGTGACTACTAAAAACCACCAAACTGTATACTTTAAATGAATGAATTTTATATGTGAAATAAATCTCAATAAGCTATCAAAAATTTTTCTTATCAGAAGCTTGGGAACAAGACATAATCTGCATGGATCATTTCTAAAGTATATCTAGTCCTTCCCAGATCAGATTTTTTGCCCCAGACTTCTCAGCAAGTGATTCTTAATATTTCTAGAGCCACAGGTACCTTTAAGAATCTGAGGAAAGCTGTGGATCCTGTGCCCAGAAAAATCTCTTTACTCACACTCATTCATACTAAAAATCTGCAAAGGATTCGTGGACCGCCTAAATCTAATTTTCTATTTTATCCCAAGTTTTGTCTCTCCTAGCTGGTCCCTTTGTAGTATTTGGACCTGTAGAATCTCACAACCTTCAGATTTGCCCCTTTGCTTTGGCTGCTAGGAGACTTTTAAGTCAAATTCAAGCCCATTTTTAGCCACCATATAAGACTTATGGCTTACATTTATATACCAAATCTGTTACCTGCTTCTTTTCCCATTACCATCACCTCCTTGTCTTTGTTTTGACCTCTTGAGTATGTGTCTATTAATAGAAGCTGCCACACTTCCTTTAGAGTGTGATGTGTGAGAAATGTAAAAAAGCCTTTATTCTAATGTTTGTAAGTAGTTCTAAGAGGGAAAGAATGGGAACTCACTGAGTTTGGGCTCAGACTACAAGACCGACGGGAATGCGGCCATGTCTTGAGTTTGTTTCTAGGTATGTAGCCTAACCTCCCTGAGGCTGCTTCACCCTTGTAAGATGGAAGCATTAATCCCTTCCTCACTGGATTGTTAAAGTCACTAAATTGTAAAATGAATGCAAAAGTGCTTACCTGGCATGGAATAAGTCATTAAAATTTGTTTTTGTTTTTATTAGACGTGTTCTAATAGGAACAACACTTGTTTAATTTCAAAAACATGCCCTAATTTTGAACAGATTTTTTTTTTTTGAGACTGAGTCTTGTTCCGTCACCCAGGCTGGAACGCAGTGGCGCGATCTCTCACTGCAACCTCCACCTCCCAGGTCCAAGCGATTCTCGTGCCTCAGCTTCCCAGGTAGCTGGGATTGCAGGCGCGCACCACTGCACGCAGCGTGAACGTGTTTTTGTCCTCTGGGTAACTGAGCTATCAAATGGATCCTACCACTTGTAGGAATTTCCAGGGCTCCATGTACTGGGCTTAGTCAGCTACCCCTCTTTGACCTTGTCCTCAACCTGTGTTTTCTTTCTCTTCATCACCAGATCTCTTCACTGAAGAACAGGCTGAAGAAGGTCTCCACAACCACTGGGGATGGTGTGGCCAGAGCCTTCCTCAAGGCCCAGGCTGCTTTCTTCGGTAGCTACCGAAACGCTCTGAAAATCGAGCCGGTGAGTAGCCTTGGCGTGTCACAGAGACTGTGTTGGGTCAGGGCTGAGAAGCATACCTCAGGGGACACAAGAAATGCCATGATTATTCTGCTTTTCGGGCTCACCTAGAAGAGGTTGTGTGTGTTGGTGGTGGGGGACGGCGTACTCGCATTGCCATACCTCTAAGCACGAGGAGGCTGTGCTATCATGTGTGAGACTCTCACTGCTCTGGCGGCTGTTAAGGCCTTGCCCCTTGCGCCACCCTGGACGGTAAGCCCCAACCGCCTGTCAGATAACAGCGCCAGGCCCCTCACACTCACCTGCCGTCACTGGGGCTTCACAGTGTACCTGTGCAATAGCAATGGTCAGTTCCATTTTACAAATGAGGAAACCAAGACTCAGGGAAGAGAAACAACTTAGCCCAGAAGAGCCAGATGGTCCCAGAGCCCCTGCTTTCCCACTAGACCTCGCCGCCCCTGTTCTTTCAAGGGTCCTCTCCTCCATGCTTGAGAAACCAGAGCTTCCTGGGGTTCACGCCTGAGGGCTCCTGCAAGTGGTCTTGTTGTAAGTGACTACAATGAGGACCAGGAAGTGACACTGCCCACCTCTGACCCTTCCCCCTTTCTGGGCCTTGTTGACTCATTCATGTCCCCTGCCTGTCTCATGAGTTGACTCGTGATTGCAAGGATGTGAAGACACCAGTCTTCTCTGAAACCTAGGACAGTAGCAGTCCTCTTAGCTTCCAAGAGAAGTTCTTTGCTGTTTCTCTCCTCAGCCTACTCTTGGCCTTCTGGCTAAGGAGAATGCAGGAATTGGCCTAGAAACCTGGGTCACCCTGTAGAGGGGAGAACGTTGCAGGGAAACCTTGCTGACAGGCCTGTTCTCCCAGGAGCACAGGGCCGCCTTCTTGAGCGGGCGAGTGACACTCTCACACCCAGCCTAGTCAGAGTCGGAGTCAGGTGTGAGGGACCAGCTCTGGCTGCACTGCCCACAGGCTGGAGCTGTTTGTTTCTATTTTTACTTTAACCCATAGCATTTGATTACATAAAATGACAAAAGATGAGGGGACATGAGGCGATTCATGGTCTGTAGAAATTCTGAGTGTGAGCAGGGGCCACACTTCCTCATAAGCTGCAATTACACATTGGTAAGTGTCTTTACTGCTCTAACTCCGTCATGTATTCAAGCAAAACACAAAGAGTAACAGCAAGCACCTTGTTTCCTGTCACCCAGGGCCTGCTCTGTGTGAAGTGGCCAGGGCGGTGGGTGCTCAGGGAACAGCATGCTACCCCACCCCCTCCTCCTCTTTATCCATCTGGCACTTAGGCCTTACTCTCTAGGCTGCCTGAGCTTTGGACAGTGTCATCGTCACTATGTGGTCACATAGCAGAAGGGATGCGCACTCTCTTTTTGCTTCCTGAGAAGTATTTCCCTTAGGTTTCTCGAAAGCCCTTCAGCTTAAAGCCAGTTCTTGCTAGTGTCCTGCTAGTTTCAAAGTGACATGGCTCTGATTACCTGTTGCGATCTTGGGTCCAGCCAAACCAATCAGGTTCAAAGCAGTGGTATCTGGCATAATTCAAGGAAAATACTGTTGTCTTCCCCTCTTTAAAATGGGAATGAATAGGACAGCTGGCCCAATCCTTTGCTTGTGTTGCTGGGGACAGACAGACTTGAAGTATTTTCACTATTGCAGTGATCTCACTGTTGGCATGTGTGTGCATCTGGAATCAAAGGCGGTTGAAGCTTGGGACAGACTGCTGGCTGCAGGATCTGAGCACAGGTTCCTCCACAGGAGGAGTTTCTCATTGTACTTACACATGGCTCTTGAAGGCACTGGGTTTAAGGACAGAAGCTCTGGAGTTTAAAGCCTGGCTCTGCATTTCTTAGCTGTCTCGAAGTTAAGCAAGCCCCTTAATCCATTTAAACTGTAGTTTTGTCACCTGTGAAATAAGAATAAGCCTGCCTATCCTTCCAAAGGATCAGTTGAGCCATAACATTCATAAGGAAGGTGAAACTTGAACTGGATGTGATGAGTAAGGTTTAGAAAAAGAAAGAAAGAAACATCCCTTCCTAGAGTAGGAGGTAGAGATAACTGAGGAAGCAAAGTGCTGGAGGCAGGGCCCCTTGTGGCCAGTGAGCAGGCCATTTTGTCTGGAGCGATTGGGTGGGGAGATGGGGCTGCAGGAGAGGATAGAGCCAAATTTGGCAGAGAGTGAACCTTACCCTGTGAGGAGTGTAAGATTTTGAGCAGAAATGTGACATGACAAGTTACCTTTGAGCAGCAGGACAGTGATGGACTGAAAGGAGAGCTGGAGGCAGAGAAACCAGTTAGAGGAGTGTTGTGAGAACTCAGAAGAGAGCCCTGGGTGGCTCCACCAGGAACAGAGACCTTGAAGGAAGAAGTAACAAGACTCAGCAATAGATCAAATATGGAGATGAACAGAAAGAAGTGCCAAAATGTCTCCCAAGATTTGGAGCCTAGGAGAGGATGAAGATGCTCCTAGTAGCAAAAGGGAATGCTTAATGCCAAGGTCTTCACAGTAGCAGCATTCCTAATGGTAAAACACTAGAGTATACTAAATATCCATATTAGGTAACTGGTGAAATAACTTAAAGTCCATCTTACGATAGGATATTACATAGCCATTAAAACTGTCACCTTTGAGATAACATGATGAGTTTAGATGGAGACATGGCACTTGTCCTTGAATGTGAGCTGCCATTCAGTCATTAGAAGATGTACTATTAGTTTACGTGCCATTAAGAAAGGGAAAAGAGTGGTGCCAATTATAATTGAAGGATGCTACCAATTATAAGACACATCCAGATTTCAAAAATGTTATAATGGGAAGTAATTTTCATCTTAGAATCAATGAAATATGGCAGACGTGTCAGGCTTTCAATCTCATTCATCTGCACTGCAATGGCTTTCTTCTGTAAGCTGGATAATTTAGAATTTTCCAACCAAACTTCAAGCCAACGTCATCACCATGTCACCTAGATGGTTTTTAAACTATAGATTTAATTTTGGCAAATTCTCCTCTTCTAAAATATGAGATAACAACATTCCCCGTGTAAGATTGCTTGGGGCAGCCAGGCATGATGGAGCATTCAAGACCAGCTTGGGCAACACAGGGAGACCTCATCTCTACAAAAAATAAGTCAGCTGGGTGTGGTATCACGTGCCTGTGGTCCCAGCTACTTGGGAGGCTGAGACAGGAAGATCGCTTCAGCCCAGAAGTTTGAGGCTACAATAAGCCAGGATTGTGCCACTGCACTCCAGCCTGAGAAAAAAATGGAAACCCTTTCTTTAAAAAAAAAAAAAAAAATGTTTAGGGGATTATTTTAAAATAATGACTCCAAAGTAAATGTGAGCCCAAGAAATAGGAGGAGGCATTGGCTGCATGTGGGGTTGTGGGGAGGGTGGGACCTTGAGTAAGCCTGCCAGGGTACAGGCAACACAGTGCTGAGGCCCTCCCCATGGTCACTTGTCTTTTAGTTGTTTTTCTGGTTATAAAAATAGCACCTGCTCTTTGCAGGCCAGGCGTGGTGGCTCATACCTATAATCTCAGCACTTTGGGAGGCCAAGGTTGCCTGATCATGAAGTCAGGAGATTGAGACCATCCTGGACAACATGGTGAAACCCCGTCTCTACTAAAAATACAAAAACTAGCTGGGGATGGTTGCCCACACCTGTAATCCCAGTTACTCAGGAGGCTGAGGCAGGAGAATCGCTTGAACCCAGGAGGCGGAGGTTGCAGTGAGCCGAGATCACGCCACTGCGCTCCAGCCTAGTGACAGGGCAAGACTCAGTCAAAAAAAAAAAAAAAATCCTACTCTTTGTTTTAAAAAAAAAAACATGTTTAAACTAACAGGACTAGAAATGAGAAAGCACCGCCCATAATCCTGTCATCAGGAGGTAAGATACAGCAGTGGCAGGTTTCCATCTAGGTTCTAGAATTTTTTGTTTCTTTTGTTTTTCCATTTTTGGGTTTTGGTTTTTTAACTTTCTGTAGGCAGATGAGATGTGCCTGAGAAAGCAATCCCTTATCCCAATTATTAATAAATTTTTTTGCCTTTTAGTTTGTGTGAGAATTTTTAATACCACATAGAAACTCTTCTTAGACATGATTGACAGTGGCTGAGCAGAGCCTATCAGGTGACCCTCGTGGTTCTCAACACTGGCCGGGGATCAGAATCACGGAGCGGGGATGAGGGGGGAACTGTTGAAAAAGCTAATGTCCAGGCCCCCTCAGAGATTTCTCTCCAGTTCCTATGATCTGAAGTCAGAGCCAAGGCCCACCATGTTTTCCTAGTGCTGGTCTTTTTAAAAAATTATTTTACTATTTTATTATTATTTTTAAGACAGGATCTCTCTCTGTTGCCTAGGCTGGAGTGGGACCGTCACAGCTCATGGCAGCCTCAACGACCTGGGCTGAAGTGATCCTCCCACATCAGCCTCCCAGGTAGCTGGGACTACAGGTGCATGCCACTGAACTCAGCTAATTTATTTTTAATTTTTGTGAAGACAGGGTCTTGCTATGTTGCCCAGCTGGTTTCCAACTCCTGGGCTCAAGTGATCCTCCAGCCTCAGACTCCCAAAGTGCTGGGATTACAGGCATGAGACACCATGCCCAGCATGCTGGTCTTTTTGATTATCAGTAATGTTTCATGATTTTAAACCTCACTGTGCTAAACATCTTTATATAAATCTTCATGCTTGGTCTGAGTTATTTTCTCAGGCAAATTCCTTGACATGGATTTACTGAGTCAACAGATGTGAGTCCATTTAAGGCCTTTGGCATATAATGTGAGAGAAGGCTGGTGACCAGACACAGGGAAGGTCCCTGAGGCAGGTAGCAGCCCAGAGCCTGAGAACAGTAGGTGGCTGAGGGCGGAGTGAGCCTGCAGGGTAGAAAGCCAGGTATGTGGGACCCATGCAGGGCAGCCCAGCTGCAGCGCTCCCAGCCCCTCTGGCTCGCTGTGCTCTCTGCTTCCTAGTGTTTCCTCAGCAGCGGTCA